CCTTCCCCTCTCTCGCTGCGGCGGCGCGGGGCCCCGGGGGCGACGCCCGAGCCGCTCCTTTCGCCGGCCTTGGCCTCCGCCGCCCCCCTCGCGCCTTTCCTTTCCCCTCCCTCCCTGCCTGCCTGCGAAGGACGGGCCCGGCCGCTGTCACGTTGGCAAGCGAGGGGACGGGGCTCCGTGTGCCTAAAGAACAACCTGTTGCCAGCAATGTTCCCTCTAAGCTGTGGGGTCTTGTGAGCAAAAATCCTACCTTGTGAGCTCCTGGCACTAAAGTGGTGAGCCAGCGATTGGGCTGCTGCATAAATTAGGTTGCCCTGGAGCCCCATCCCTTCCTGAGCGAAGACAAAAATCCGTGAGCCGGAGGCTGAAACACTCTGAGCTGGCTCACACTAGCTCAGCTTAGAGGGAACACTGGTTGCCAGCAATGTTCCCTCTAAGCTGTGGGGTCTTGTGAGCAAAAATCCTACCTTGTGAGCTCCTGGCGTTAAAGTCCTGACCAAGGGATTTGGCCACTACTGCATAAATTGGTTGGCTCTGGAGCCCCGTCCCTTCCTGAGCGAAGAGAAAAATCCGTGAGCCGGAGGCTGAAACACTCTGAGCTGGCTCACACTCACTCAGCTTAGAGGGAACACTGGTTGCCAGCAATGTTCCCTCTAAGCTGTGGAGTCTTGGGAGCAAAAAATATAGTTTGTGAGCTACTAGCATTAAAGTTGTGAGCAAGCGATTTGGCTGCTGCATCAGTTAGTTTGCCCTGGAGCCCCGTCCCTTCCTGAGCGAAGAGAAAAATCTGTGAGCCGGAGGCTAAAAAACTCCGAGCTAGCTCACACTAACTCAGCTTAGAGGGAACACTGGTTGCCAGCAATGTTCCCTCTAAGCTGTGGAGTCTTGGGAGCAAAAAATATAGTTTGTGAGCTACTAGCATTAAAGTTGTGAGCAAGCGATTTGGCTACTGCATCAGTTAGTTTGCTCTGGAGCCACATCCCTTCCTGAGCGAAGAGAAAAATCCGTGAGCCGGAGGCTAAAAAAACTGAGCTGGCTCACACTCACTCAGCTTAGAGGGAACACTGGTTGCCAGTAATGTAAGCTGGGTGGAGGGAGCGGAAGAGGGTGGCGGAGGGCAGCCGTGGTGTTCTGTAGCAGGACACCTAGAGCCCGGGGGCACCTTCGAGACCCGCACAAGATGTCTGTGGCCTGAGTTTCTGAGAGTCAAAAGCTCCCCCCATCAACCACGAGGAGGAACGGAGATCCCGGAGACCTTCTATCCCAGTCTGGAGGGGTTTTTTTTTGGGGGGGGGGGGTTGCAAGGAAAGGAATCGGGATGTGGAGCTAAAATGCAGAATGTAAATCAGGGAGTGGGAGGAGCGCATCCTGGGCGGCTTCAAAAGGGAATCGGATAAGCACCTGGAGCAGAGGTCCATCAGTGGCCATTAGCCAGAAGGTATAGATAGGGACTCTGGGGCAAGGGATTCTCTGTCTTCTTGGTGCTTGGGGGGGGGGCAACAGTGGGAGGGCTTCTAATGTCCTGGCCCCACTGGTGGACCTCCTGATGGCACCTGGTATTTCTGGCCACTGTGTGACACAGAAGAGTGTTGGACTGGATGGGTCTTTGGCCTGATCCAACACTGGCATCTCTGGTGTTCCTATGTCTGGGGCAAGGGATGCTCTGTCTTCTTGGTGCTTGGGGGGGGGGGCAACAGTGGGAGGGCTTCTAATGTCCTGGCCCCACTGGTGGACCTCCTGAGGGCACCTGGTATTTCTGGCCCCTGTGTGATACAGAGTGTTGGGCTGGATGGGCCTTTGGCCTGATCCAACATGGGCTTCTCTTATGCTCTTATGTCCTATCCTTCCTCTTAGAAGTCCGTCTGCCTGTCTGCTCTGTAGTTTTTACTTGGGGTGAAGGAGGCAGAAAACATAATCTTTCTAAAACTGCTGTTACATTCTCAAATACAAAGTTTTCCTCAAATATACATATTTTAGTGGCTGCTGCTGTAAAATGTGTTATTTTTGTTCTTCTAAGTAAGAAGTAGAAAATAGTTGAAAAATGTAGCTAGTTCTCCATGCACTGAGGGAAGTTCTGTGGTGTTGCAAAAATATACCAACTGTTTGCTGTTCTTCAGTGAAGTAGATAAGTAGATGTGTGCTCCCATTTAATGAATTTTTGGAGAATCTGGTAAATTTTGTTGAATCCTTCTGAAGTATTTCTTATTTGTATGTAACTTTTTCCAGATGAATTTGAGGTGACAGAAGAGGCTCCAAGAACAGCTCCAAACCCAGCCCACAGTACCATGCCTGTTGGGCCTATGGCTGTCAAGCCGACAGGTACAATCCTGCTCTATTTCCTTATACCCCAATTGGCTCACTGTAAATATTAAAACAAGAAAATGTTCTGCAGAGCAGAGTATAAGCAGTGAACCGTCTTTGTATGTGATGGATCTCTTAAGTGCTTTTTATTAAGAAAACTTTTTTGGGTTTTATCTTGGAAAGTCTTATTAGATTCCATGCTTCCTCAGCTTATCCAACAGAGCAGGCTGTTAAAAATCAAGAACATTTTTTGATTATTGTAAAGAATGATGTAGACCTTAATGGTGGTGCGGGGGGGATTATCAATCTGTACATAGTTGGTTGAACCTTTCAAGAAAGCATATCTGCTTTTCTAAATGTTTGCATTAATCTGGGTAGATGAACGAGGGTAGAGAAATCAAGATGAGCTGTCTGCAGCAGACTCTTTTTTAGAGCAAGAGTCCAGGAGCATCTTAAAGACTGACAAATTTTGTGGCAGGGTATGAGCTTTCGTGAGTCACTGCTCACTTCTTCAGATAAGGGTAGATAAACTCTGCGTTCTTACTGTAAAAAAATCAGAAACAGCTTTCTGGGGTTTCTTTCATAGATTAACGATGAAGGGGGAAAAAGTTAGTATTTTGTTATGCCAGTAACAAAATACTTTGGAATACAGTGGAAGGCTGTTTGCTGGCTCATCAAATAATTTAATCTCTGGAATGAGGTAGAGATTTGTGTCAGTCTTTAGAACTGGAGTCTACTAGTTCATTTTTTAGCACAGTCCAACAACAGCTAAAATGATTGCTTGCCAATACAACTTGTTTCATGTGGCTTGGACTGAAAGCTTGCACCATCACTCTTTTGGTACAATGACAAGCCTGATGAAACCTAATCTTACATGGATTCATCCTTTGTGAGTAAGAGCATTGGAGAGGGACAGAGTTTTTTAGGGTGTGAATGAAAGGAATGCAATACCTTTTCAGAGCAAATTTTTTAAAAAACAAAACCCTATTTGCTGCACTATTATGAAGTGCCTTTGAGGCATTTCTTACAGAAGTGAGTATTATGTAATGTGTAATTGGTTTGGCATGACATGTTTTGTTTCCTTCTTTGTGTATGTGTAGGGGGGACACACTAAGAAAAATATTTCAATCCCCAAATCCTTCTTTTGGTGATTATAATAGTATATAACTGTATAACAGAATATAACTGTACTATGTACTATGCAGTAGTAGATACGGGGTTGGATCAGCTTTTCCACTAATGAAAAACAGGGAACCAAGGATCTCTGTTGACTTCCAGAAAGACTATGGTAGGGATCATGGGGACTGTATGGACAAAAGATACCTGGAGCAGGAACTGTAATAAAGAAGGTAATTGAATGAGAATGAGTGAAAAAATTGGCTGGATCTAACTCATGGTCATTATGACTGTTTTGTTCTAGGTGGCTTATGTTTGCTTGGTGCTTATGCAGACAGTGATGAAGAAGAAAGTGAGATGTCTGTGAAACCACAGTCTACAGGTGTAAATAGCAATAATTCAACAGATATTGACAGCACCCTGGCAAACTTCCTGGCGGTTAGTAGGAATTCTGTTTTGGGTCATTGATTGACTGACTCCGTTTTACAAACTGGAATAGGAAATTCAGAGGGGGGGGGGAATCTCACAAATAAATTGTAGGTTGTACTCAGACGAGAAATGGATAAAATCAGGTGACCACAGACCAGTGTGTTAAAAGTGTCAGGTGGGAAGTGTTTAAATCTTTGGCTTGGTGGCTGTTTCTACATTGTTCCCAGTGTGAGTTATTTGAACCAAATATTGTGATCCCATTTGTCTCTCATTGGATTTATTTCATTTTTAAAGGAAATTGATGCAATAACAGCTCCTTCTCAGCCTCCTGAAACTGTTGCTTGCTCTGCGGCTCCACCTCCAACCCCTCCGCGCCCAGAGCCCAAGGAATCTGTCACCAGTCAAATTTTATCTACTGCAAATGGAACAGATCAAGCAACAGAGTGGCAGTATGACACTCAGTGCTCGCTGGTAGGAGGTGAGTTCTGTATAGAACCAGTGTGGTATTGTGGTTTCTGATAGATAAGTTTTATTGTCTTAGCCATACGCCATAACAAGTATAGTGGTTAGAATGTTAGACTATAGGCCCCCTATGTGCCTCTGCAAAGGGGAGCAACTGGCAGAAAATGCCCCTTCTACCCCACAACACCCACTGTGTGTAAGTAGGCCAGAGTATGGCCTGGAAACGTATACCAAACCAAGATGGAGCAGAACCAAACAAAATGGATCCTAGCAACAAAGAACAAGTCTGAACTTGGCTGCGGAGGTGGCTTTAGGGCATCTGTCAAATGAATAGTTTCCCCCCATCTAAAACAAAGTAATATTTCTCTCTCTCTGTTGGGGCCCACAGGAAAGATACAAAATCCTATCACCTAGCTGTTTCCTTCCTGGTCAAATCACCCTCATCAGTAGGCTGTTCACACAACTGCGTAGCCTTTTCTCTCCAACAATCAGGGATCAGCAGGGCATTGTTAACTTCTTACATTCGTAGCTGCATTCCAACAGAAACATTAACAGTTCCTGTCTGCACCAGGAAATCCATTCATCCACACAGATGCAAAATATGACGACGTCTCTGGGAATGCTACGCAGAGCCTCCCCTGCACATTGTTCTGGTCCCAGTTAATCCCTCCAGCAGCATCGTTTCACGGGGCAGTCCCATTAGCCCTCAGGTCCCATTTCCCCCTATAACTAGGCAGCCCTGGCTCCGTTGCTGTGTGTCTTGTCTGGGCGCCTAGTGACAACGCACCCACCCACCCCCTTATTGTTTGGGTCTTTCTTGAGATGCTGGTAGCCTCACTTCCTCTCTCTGTAGACCCCACCTGCTTACCTCTTAATGGTTTTACGCCCTCTTGAGGTAACAGGTAGGATGATGGGTGAAAAAATTAACCAGAATTCACTGTCACATTGAAGGGCTCCCGGATGACTTCTGGGCTCATCCTGGAAATGGCTTTCATGTAATAAATGTAACGGTGCCTCCCCTGTGTCCCTGCCCACGCCCAGTCTCCCTCTGGCTGGCAACCCTACTGGACTAGAATCTGGGGGACCCTGGTTCATATCCTCCTCTGCAGTGGAAGCTTGCTGGGTCACCTTGGGCCAGTCACACAGTCTTAGCCTAACCTACCTCATAGGACAGTTGTGAGGATGAAATGGAGGAGAAGAGAAAGATGTGAGCTCCTTTGAGTCCCTTTTGGGGAGGAAGGTGGGTATTCTACATATGAATAGCCCTAGTTCCAATGGCTTTTCCCTTTATTTGGAGTCTGTGACGTGGGAAATTGAACACTAACATTCTGCAGTAGCTAATCTGCTAGGTGTGTGCTGTTCAGTGAGTGGCGGTAGTGTGAGAGTGGTGGAAGGATACATTCACAACCATTATCTGTCTCTGGTAGTATATAGAGGATGCTCAGTACTACAGGTTGTGTTTATTTGCCTGCAACCCTAATGAAAGGGTCTACTCATTGAAGTCTTGCATTCCTTTTGCAGTGGGAGTCGAGATGGGAGACTGGCAGGAAGTTTGGGATGAAAACACAGGCTGCTATTATTACTGGAATACTCAAACCAATGAGGTTACTTGGGAACTCCCCCAGGACCTGGCAACACAAGTTCAAGGTCTCCAGCCTTACCAGCACGGGTAAGAAATGTGCCAGCATGTAAGCTGAATTTGAAGGTCCTTCAGTTCCCATTACTAACTATGCTGCTCTGTTAGTTCTGTAACAGACGCTGATGAAAACTATCTGATGGCTGCAGATTTAAGCTCCCAGGGGAAAAGTAGTGGTGGCGGCGGCAGTGCTGGACGCAAGACAGCCCCTTTGAAGCGTGAGCTGAAGAAGGTCAGTATTGGTCTGGCTGGTTTAGAGGCCATTTTTATGTCTACTCTTGTAACTTCACCAGAAAATGTTTTTCTTTGGAGTACCTATTTTGTATGGGTTCAGATTGGTTTGTTTATTTAGATGACATAATATTGAGATCACGTCAAGGCAGAAACTACCTTTCAAAGTATCTTAGCAGCACAGCATACTATTAAATGTTATAAATAAGTCATAGATGTTATTTGCCCTGGTGCATCTGTAGAGTTTAAAAGAACCATCTTGGCAAAGGACAGGGTTTCATGGCTCAGTAGAAAGGCATATACTTTGCATGCAGAAGGTCCAGAATTCAGTCTCTCATGTATCTGAAAACCCTACCCCTCATGAGTACAAGCTCTGAGCATGTTCCCTCTGGTTTCTGAGCCTTCAAATGCTGGCCCCACTTTGAAGGGTAGTAACGTAAACTAGAAACTTGTTTTTCTTAAAATGTAAGTTGAAGTTCTCAGGATGTCAGGAGTCAAATCTCATGCTGACTGTGGTAAAAGCTGTGGAAGTAGGACATTCTTAGCCATGTATATAACCTGCATGGGTGATGGTAATAATCTTTTAAATATTATACTACTTTTCTATCCTACACTCAAAAGTAGTTTCCATATATACAGGCAATACCATAAAGTTTAAAAACCAGCAATGACAAATTACCAGACAGTCAGCAAAACAGGTCAGTTTCCAATGACCCTTTTAAATAGTTCAGCCTGCATTTTCCCCCCCTTAAGAACTGCCAGAAGTACCACTTATTGTGTATCTCTAGGCATCCCATTGCAAAGGACAGTGGAGCTACTACTGAAAAGGCTCACATGTTAGCTGAAATTGCCCTGACCTCCCTTGGCATTGGGTTTGTGAGCATCTCCTATTGTGATGAGTACAGCACTCTCAGGTGCTCCACCACTGGGAGAGGTAGCTGGCTACAGAAAAGTTGTAATATTATGAATGAATAGCAGCATCAGTTTTGCTGATTCTCTGCGTTGAAGAAGAGTTAAACTGTTTTTATAAGGAACTGATTATGTGGGTTTATACCACTTAATCCAGTATCCTACTTGTGACAAGAGTATCAGTTGCTGCTCTGTGTAGCAGTTTGTGGAGTAACTTTCTAGGAAGATAAGTTGTTTAAGATTCTTAGCAGATGGAAGCAAGTGGATAACATCTATGAATACCTCTCAGCATTGTTGTACTCTTTTGTCTGCCTATGTGGGTGTGTTCTCGCTAGTGGTGTAGCGTTTCAGTCCTGCTTAACAAAATTTCAGCCCTGCCCTAGCTACCAGCAGATTCAGACAAACTTTCTTTGAGTCAGATCACAATCATGATGTATGTTGTGCATCTTGCTTGAGTACCAGTTTTCTTCACATGGTGGAGGTCTGACACAACTTATAGAGGAACGTGATGAATTGCAGATGACATCTTTACAAGAATCACTAAATTGAGTAATCCTCTTCAGTAGCAGTGGTGTAGAGATGATAGCAGAAGCTGTTATGGTAAACTTGGAGACAGTTTTTGAATAGTGACAGCGGCAGCAATGCCTTGGTGCGCAGGCTGACAGGTGGTGAAACAAAGTAGCATTCAGCAAGAGGCACATAAGAAGGGAGCGGGAAGGTCCTCTGATGCATGGGAACAAAAGGCTAGGCCCCCTCTGTAGCTGAAATAAACATTACCTTCCTTGTCCCTTCCTGGCATGTAGGAGCTGGAACCTTGTCCATACATGGCGTGTGATCGAGATGTGAAATGGACTAATGAGTACAATGGTCTCTCCCGTCATTAACCTAGCCATCCTTGTATCTCTAAGATGGCTCTGATTGTTCTGTCACTGGCTTTAGAAATTTAGTATTTTGGAACAAAATCTCATTGATTTTAACAGGAAGTGAATGAAGGTATCCAAGCCCTTTCAAGCAGTGAAGAAGAGAAAAAGGGAGTGGCTGCGTCACTGCTGGCCCCATTACTTTCTGAGGTGGTGAAGGAGGAAGAAGAGCGCTGGAGGAAGAAAGTTATCTGTAAAGAAGAGCTGGAGCCCCTGATGGAAGAGGATGTGACGACAGAGCAAGCAGCAACTGTTGCCGAGCAACTGGAAAGCAACAGAGATATTGGGGATGATCCTTCGCAGGAGGAGTTGTGCAGTGTGGTGCAATCAGAGGAAAGTGCGGAGGAGGAAGAAGAGCAGGACACCCTTGAGCTGGAGATGGTCTTGGAAAGGAAGAAGGTGAATGAGTTCCCTTGGAGATGTGGGATTTCTTTCCTAATGGAACTGAAATGGGTCTAGCAATTGGGAAGCAAGAAAAGAATTTACAGTAGAGGGATGGGCTGGGAGTGTCCTTTGCTGTTTGTCTGCTGAGGAGGAAGGCCTCATGCAAGAGCCTCTTTTAACACTGATAGTTTCTTCTGTTAAAATTAGCTGTCCTAGAAGGGTGGATTCTAGTGGCACAGAAATAAATAAACTGTGAACCCTGACAGGTATGAGCCCTGCCCTATAGGAGCAATTCTAAAACTGTCCAAGAGACTACTTGTAGCAGAATTGATAACAGAGTAATTGTTTTCATGTAATAATTGCGAATGAGGGGTACACCTCTGTTATGAATAGGTTCTCTTTTCCCCCTTCCTCTCAGTTGATTAAGTGCTCCACCACTGGAGTTGTTCAGTGAGGGATGTACAGCCTTCACAGACCTTGGTTTTTTTTTAAAAAAATCCACAAAGTGATGAATGCGTTTGAAGAGAGGGTGAAGCAGGAGAAGTTGTCTTGCTCAGTTAAGTGTCATGTGCACAGAAACAGCAGTGTGTGCACTGATTTAGAGATGTACTGAATTTTCTTAGGTACAAAATATTCTAGGCCTTGTTTACTGCTACTAGTACACATTATATAGTGTCAGCAGCATGGTGGTCACTGCAGGACACAGAATTAACACAGACTCTCAGAGGGCATAGATTTTGTGTTAGATAGGTAATTTAGGGAAGCATGGGAAATGATGGTGGATTTAAAGTGAGTAGTGGGTATTAGAAATGAAAACAGTAAGTAATGTGAGGCTACAGCAATTTAAGGAAAGGCTTGGTTAAAAGAAGTGGGGGTTGAAGGAAGATTTGAAAGGAGGAAGTGTTACCTAAACTGGACTGGGGGGGGGGGGTTAGTTGTTCAAGGGTTTCCAGAAGGGTAACAAGGGATAATTTTTCTTTGTATATGGAAGTTTTATTCCAGAGCAATATTCCCAAATGAAAAGGGACAGAGACCAACCAGACACACCACTAGGAGCAAACCAAAACAACCAACCCTTAAGACTACGAATAAACCACCCTCTCCCTCCCAATAGATACACACACACACATTACAAGGCTAGGATAAGGAAGAGAGAAGAGACCAGAGAGGGAAAGGAGGACATTCAATATTACCTGATCCAAGGGAGATAAGAAGTGGAAGATTGGGGGAGTCCATGCAGCAGAGGTCCAAGGCAGCAGAGTGTCAAGGAGAGGGGCCTGCGAAGTGGTTATGGGGTATCTAGGTGGTAGGAAGACTTGACACACCTTCCACCAACTTGGGATGGTCTTTTTATGGGGAAGGATCTCAAAACTAGACATGAGACCCCACTTTCTCAGTGTTGGGATTGGTCTGAGATACGAAGTTTGAATTTGACTGGGCAGTTTGACGGTAACTGCTGTCAAGTTCTGGCAAAAAGATTAGGAGGGAAATACCTGACATTCCCAGGTGGGGCAATAGTTGGACTGGTTTAGCATATTGATAAAGGACCAGGCTGGCGTGAATAATGGGTTTGATGGCTCATACTGGATGGATCAAAAGTTAAGCAGTCTTTATCAATGGCTGGGTTGGGTTAGGGATACTTAAGGGTTGCCCAGCTGTCTATATCTGGAAATGGTTCAGATTGCCTTGATGAAGTATCCCTTGGAGTAAGGGATATGTTTGTATTAATGCATGCCTTGGAGCTGGAGAAATGTGAATACTGTATACATTACAATGACACCCTGCCTCCATGATAGAATTTACCTTTGGTCATGGCAGGACAGGTGTGCTTTTTAGATTCATTTTTGGGATTTAGGCTTTCAGGAGGGTGCCTTTCAGAACAACTAAGGGGAGATTGGGGATCAGGTTTGAGGGGTCTCAGCAGGAGGAGGGGACAGGAGCCTCATAGAAAGGAAATGTTTCGTGTATAGAGGGAGGCTTTTCTAGACAGATCAGGGTGATTGAGGATAAGAGCTGCAAGGATATGTGAAACAAACGAACTTGTTTCTTTGGTCCTGAATTAATATCCTTTTTTTCTAGGCAGAACTGCGAGCTTTGGAGGAAGGTGATGGCAGTATTTCAGGCTCAAGTCCACTTTCTGAGGGGAGTCAATCGGATCTAGCAAGGCGGTTACTACCAAAGCAAGGGAAATGGAAATTATTTGGGGTGGCCAGCCCAGAATCTACCAGCCGAGGGTCAAGCAAGACAGGACAGGAGAGTCCTGAACCTGGGGAAACAGGCAAGTCTTCTGCCAAATGGCCATTTCAGCTCTCTTATCCAATAGTGAGGGTAGATTTAAGTTCAGTAAGTAATACTAAATATATTCGTAAAATAGTATGAGGACCAGCTATTGGTTACTCTTCTGAAGATTCTTACTCTGTAATCTCAATGCATTGTCTCACACATTGCTTACAGCTATGTTAAGAAGTCAGGAGTCTCCTGCCTCTTTGACCAATTTTCTGTATCCTTTTTTCCTGCCTATATTAACTCATTGTAAGGATGTTGAGGGCTGACCAGTGGAAAATGAGGCTTACAAATATTTTCTGTTTTCTTGCTCTCTGTTCAGTGGTGAAGGAAGTGTCAGAAGTTGCTGATGAGAATTCAGGCAGTGAACTGGACACAGAAGAATTACAAGAAAAAGTGAAAACACAAGGGTCTGTCAAGGTGGAAGATGAGGAGCAGGACTTAAGGGTATATGGGCCAAAGCAGGCATAATGCTCTTCTTGTTAGGACAGTACTAGTGGCATCAAATGTACATGAGTGAGCGTGTCTTCAGATAGACGTAGCTTTTTTTTTTGCTTTGTTCTCTCAGAGACCAATCGTGTATGTGCCCTCTGTGCTCATGTTCCAACAAAAGATTCAGTAAGAAAATAACACACACACCTCTTTCCTTGGTATAGTGGTTAGACTGTCAGATCTGGGAGACCCAGGTTTGAATCCCCACTCTACCATGAAAGGCCACTTGGGTGAATTTTGGGCCAGTCACACTTTCTTGGCCTAATCTACTTCACAGGGTGATTGTTAGGATAAATGGAGTGGAGACCAATGTAAGCCTCTTTGGGTCCTGGGGAGAAAACGAAGGTATAAATAAATTGTATTTGCATACAGCTAGTTGCCATACAGTCACACAGACCAGATTGTTAGGAAAAAGAGTCCGTTCATTTTTTTTAAGTCACCCCCATATTCTTTACACCTCTCTTGTAGTGTAAAGTGGCCCTTGGGTCCCTGTTTTTACTTAATCTGACCAGGAGGACTTTGAAGTTCTGCAACTTACTGCACAGCATGCTTTTGAAGAAGAAGAAGAGATTGGTTTTATACCCCGCCCTTCACTTGGGAGTCTCAGAGCGGCTTACAAACTCCTTTCCCTTCCCCTCCCCACAACAGACACCCTGTGAGGTGGGTGGGGCTGAGAGAGCTCTGACACAAACTGCTCTTTTTCAAGGACAGCTGTGCCAGAGCTTGTGACTGACCCAAGGTCACATCAGCAGGTGCAAGTGGAGGAGTGGGGAATCAAACCTGGTTCTCCCAGATTAGAGTCCGTACACTTAACCACTACACCAAACTGGCTCTCTGAAACTGTTCTAAGTTATGATTATTCCTTAGGGTAATTTCTGACATTGCTTTTATTGACACATCCAAAGCCATCACAAGATGGGAGTGTCTTTACTTTTTGGCCTCTTGGAAAAGTGGAAATGAAATATATTACATTTAAGATGTGTGTTAGTGAGATGTACAGTGAGAGACGTTGTTTGGTCATATGTGTTTTGGTGTTCCCTCAGATCAGTTGTTTGTTGCTTTAAAAAAGTACTGTTGGGAAACAACCTTTCTTGTATGAAAATAAGCTGCAGTGGAATAAATTACATTGTATGTATGGGTTATGTAACTCCTGTAGCTAAAGACAAAAATATTTAATTCTGTCCTGGCAGGAATATCTGAGTGTTCCACGAGAGTGTACTCTGGCATTCTCTAGAAATAAACTGATTGCCACAAAACGTGTCCATCAAATTTCACCGCTTGCCAGGTTCTGCTTAGGTCACACATCTTGTTAAAACAGATGTTGTCTATATGCTTCATAGAGTAGTGCAATAGCCTTGTGATTGACCAATTCTTGACCTCTTGCTTGCCTTATTTCTGGCAGTTTCAGATTGGAGAGCTGGCCAACATGTTGATAAGCAAGCTTGAGTTCTTGGGCATCAGTAGACAATCCATCTCTAACTTCCACATGCTACTGTTGCAGACTGAGGTAACTGAAGTTTTAGCTTTTTTTGAAAGTAAATCATATAGGGAGTGGAACAGTTGACAGCACTGCTGTATGACAGGACTGAATCTAGCAAGCTTAGGTACTGTGGCTGGGACAGCAGGATCTTTGTCCTTCCTGCCCCCTTCCCCCCCCTTCTCCCCACCTCCCCAGCTGAATGTTTTAGTTCAGCATTGTATTTAAGGCCATGTCGGTCTGTACATATCCTCTCCTTGATTTTGTTGTATGTCATCTGTTTTGCCCCTTTTTGTGTTGAGCCAGCATTGTCTGGGACTGCGGGGTCCAGTGGAATGTCGAAGGCAAGTTATCTACAGATGTTTCATTCTCTCTTGCTTCTCTGCCATAGACTCGTATTGCAGATTGGCGGGAAGGAGCTCTCCAAGGAAACTACCTCAAACGCAAATTGCAAGATGCAGCTGAACAGCTAAAACAGTATGAAATAAACGCCGCCCCTAAAGGCTGGTCCTGCCACTGGGACAGGTACGCACTCTTCTCCCCCTTTCACCTTTCACATCTCAGACATGATTTGTGACCATCACCACCTGCCGACGTGCCGTCGTCTGTCTGGAGACTGAGAGCAGCTGCACTTAGCGGTGCTGAGCGGGCAGAGAGCCTCCGGCACATACAGAGTTCTGGCCAGCCACAAAAATTGGAGAGATATAAAGTCTGTGTTAAGTGTGTTGAAATGGATTTGATTCCGCGATTGGACAGAGCTGGTGTTACTCTTGAGTGTAAATGCGCTAAGGAGGGCGGGCACGGGGGGTCGCGCATGCAAGAGCTCTGTGCACATTGCAGGATCTCAGGAACTCCGCTCCCAAGTAACATCTGTGTCCTTATGGAAAGCTCACTGACTGAGGATCTCAACGAAGAACAAGATTACTATCTCCTGCCAGCAGGTCAGACCAAACTATTTCTTCTTATATTTGGCTTTCTTGATTATTTTTGTTTATTTGAAATCTTTGCTCTTTTGTTTTTCAGCTCCCAGATCCTCTCCCTCTCAGTAACAATGCAATATGTCTGAAACCAAGAGTATCATAAATGTGACTGCAGCAGTCCATGGGGGAGCAGCCGTCTTTCATAAATTGGGCTGTTTCTCTTTTGCTATTCTGGAAGGAATTGAACCCTGAGCCTACCTAAAAAGTGCATTCCTAGTGCATCCTTCTGCCCTTATAGTATACCAGTCACAAGCGGGCAGTTTCACTAGCCCTCTACTCTTGAAGTGGAGTGTCAGGGCTGTGATCACAGAGCCAAGCAGCACAAACAGTTTGGAGCAAGCCCGTGTTGTATGTCCTTCCTCAAAGCTGTTTGTTGCCTTTGAACAGCAGTTCAACTGCAAGCGGTTCTTCCTGTGAGAGCACTGCGCTGTCGCGGGAGAGGACCATTTTATTGTGTCTGTACGGAGGGGAGAGAGTAAAGCCTTGTTTTCTTTCTTGTGATTTAGGGACCATAGGCGCTATTTCTATGTTAACGAGCAAACAGGCGAATCCCAGTGGGAGTTCCCAGATGGGGAAGAGGAAGAGGAGGGGCAAAACTTTGAGAATAAAGCAGAAGCTCTTCCTAAACAAGGACTGAAGGAGAAAATGGATTCTGGTGTGGAATCTGCTGATCACACAACAGGTACTAGAAGTGGTGGGTTTGCAGACCAGATGGAAGATCATTTTTAGAAGGTGAGGGAAGATTCCCACTACAAAAAATCATAGAGTTGGAAGGGACCTCCAGAGTCATCTAGTCCCAACCCCCTGTACAATGCAGGAACGTCACAAATTACCCCCACCCCCAGTGTGGGACTGACTTCGTGGAGGGAATTCCCCTGCACTGGTTGTGCCCCCCGCACGGCCTGCACTCTTCCGCATTCCTTCCCCCAGCAGCCTGCACAGCCCCTCCCCCTCCCTCCCTTCCCTCTCAACTAACCGCCCACCTTTCTTTTTCTGTCCTCCAGCACCCCAGTCTTCATCTTAGCCCACCCTTTCCTCCCACTAGCAGCCCCTGTGGCCTTTCTCAGCTAGCTTCCTTGTTTTCCTCTTCTCACACATTGCTGCCTCTTGGCTGACACTAAATGAGGCCCAGGCACCTCAGCCATATTTGGAGGTGTCAGGCAACCCCCCAAATGGCCTCAGAGATCTCTTGATTTATGCTGCTTGCAAGATCCCTGTTGGCATTTTTTAATGTTCCAATGTCTCCACTTACACACGTTGTTGCTAAGATTTTGAGGTTTTTAAAACCCCAGTATGTTTTTTTTAGGTCTTAAAGTTTTCAACAAACTTTTGGAGTTCCCCAAGGTTTGCTGAAACGTCTCCCTTACCTGCACATAGCTCCACTGTGAAGGATTTTTTTATGTTGACTAATGGCCCAAGTTTGGAGTTAAATGCAATGTATAAAATCAAAGGGATAAAGGTTTTCTCGCTGATTGCAGGAAGACAGTTGCTCAGAATGTATTCATGTATTTAAACTTTCAGCTGGATAGTGAAGGTGAACGGAAATGAGTTTATTATGCTCAGAGCATTTCTTTGTGCACCCACACTATAAGCTAGCTATTCCGGAGGTTCACACAGTGTACCTCCTGCACCATTTGGGGATTGGAAGTGCAGTTTCTTGATGCTTACGATTGGGTATTGTTCAGTTGCACTTGAACATTTGGGGATCTGGTTTAGTGGGTCGCTTAATGACATAAGCCCAAAAGGATGGCTTTGCAAAAAGTGTCTCGCTCTGGAAAAAAGGAGAATCCTAAAAGCTTAGAGGGAAAATGATGCACTGGATGGTTTGCCTGTTATGAGTGTGAGGTAATCAAAGATTTTACATGTGCTTCCTTCTAGGTTCTCTTGGTAAAGAGTCTGGCCAAGCCGCAGCTGCCTCTCTTGTGCCTCTTAGTCCGTTCTGGACTGTGCTTCAGCCCTCTGTCCCTGTACTTCAACCCCCTTTGCCCTTGGAAATGCCGCCCCCACCGCCCCCGCCCCCTGAGTCACCGCCTCCTCCACCGCCTCCACCGCCTGGAGAAGATGGGGAAATACAAGAAGTAGAAATGGAGGATGAGGGAGATGAGGAGCCACCAGCCCCAGGAACAGAGGAAGATGCTATTCTGAAGCCTCCTCTCCGACCAACAGTTGCCAACAGTCAGGTGAGGTAGTATGCAGACTGTGAGAAAGTGGTATCAGGTGTCATTGTGTAAGCTGTATGGATGTGCAGACTTCCTTTTGGTACACTGTAGTTCTGTGTGATGAAATTGTCTTGCCCTCTTTGCGAATAATAAAATGCCCGTAAAACAAACTAAACTATGTCTATGAGCTTATGCAGTCTAATCCTGACTATGTACCAACAGTTGTACACAAACTCGCTGGGCTTCCAGGTAAAGATCAACTTCTAGAGGTGTGCAAAAAAAATAATGGTATTTTTCGGCTACAAGTATATTGAACATGGAAAATATCAGTATTTTCCAATAACGGTATGGCATTGGGATTCGGGATTTTTTTTTTGGAAAACCCGAAATTCCTCGGCTTTATGATATCCTATGGGGACCATTGGTCCCCATCTCTTCTGTAGAATAATCCTGTTTTGGGGTGGCAAGTTTCCATGCTCTCCGTCAGCCATTGGCCTGTCAGCTGCCACTCAAGAGTACTTGTGTGCCATTGGCCGGGTGCTGCGTCTGCTCCTCTTCCCCATCCACTCCCCTTTCAGCCACTGTGCTGTCAGAATAACTGTCTCTTTAAATGCCTATTGTCTTTTCCAAGTGTGGCAGCAGCGCGACTCAGCGAGTGAACTCAGGAGGCACTAGCCCAGTCATGTGGTGGTGGAGCTTGGAGAAGTCATTTAAAGAGACTGCAATCTCTTGAAATGTCTTCTCAGGATAGCTGAATGCACCCAAATAAAAGCCCCCCCTCCGCTTTTTTGGGAGTCAGCCAGTAAGGTATTTTTGAGGGTATATTTTTTTTGCTCAGGTAAACTGAACGCACATCCCTGTCCACTTCTCCTGAATGTTCTCATTACCATATGAATATGCAGAAATACTCAGTTACTCATAAAACAAATGTAACCCCCAAAAGTTCAGAATGCAACAAAGGAGAAAATTGACAATACTTTCATTATTAAATAAAATAGTGCAAAAGTGCAAAATACTGTAGACTTCTACAGTTAATTCACTGAAAGGAAACTGATACAACTGCAGTGAAGTCTGAGAGTTGTAGTTGCAGATAAATACTGTAAAAGTGATTTTTTTTCAGTTACTTGGCTGCTCTCATAGAGTTCTTACAAAAGTGTTGTACTGTTCAAGAAGTGCCAATCAGAATTTGATTTGGTCCATATCCAGCATGGAAGTAAGAGTTCCACTTGTGCAAAGAATTGCCTGTCAGATATCCATAAAGATGCTCATTGGCAAGATCTGAGTATTGTTAATATTCAGACATCTGCACTTTCAAGACACCTTCTGAAGGACTACTAAGAATAGGGCTGTTGTTTTTTAAAAAATCCTCCTGTCTAAAAAAGTGTTTTTAGGCATGCAGGCAAGTCAACACTGATGTATGCACAATCAAGATTTCAGGGATCCTTATAGAGTATTGAAAGCCTTTGTGTGTGGGTCACTTAGCTGGAGTAGAGAAGCTCTGATGTTCCTGGACACCCAGTAATTATATCAGCAAGGAGCACATCTTTATGTTAAAGGAGGCTCTCCATTTAAAGCTTTGTGGAAGAAGGTGTGTGTGCTTGAAGAAGATTGTTCAGATGTCTCAGTAGTGCAAAGCATTTGTGATACTGAAAGTGAAGTATGTGACATAACTTTTTGACAGGTAGGAAACAGTTGAGTTAGTTAAGATTGGCAGGTCAAGCTATGCAAGGAGATGATTACCTTTGCTTCTGAATCCGTTTGTGTGGTGTTCCAAAAGCCCCTTATTGACAACCAAACTGTTATCTCTCTCTTTCCAGAGCACCTCTGAGACCAGTATAGCCCTACCTCTGTTGGAAAAATCTCTAAAAAGGAAAGCCTCTGAAGTGAGTGTGGGCTTGGTGCAGCGATCAGCAACTATTGGAAGCTGTCCAGTGCTCTATGGCCAGTCTGTCCTGGGTGCAGGTGAGTGTCCTCCGTCAGATTCTGCTTTGCTACTTGATACCTCTGGCAGGGAATTTTAGCAATAGCCACATCTTTTTCTCTTTATACAGGCCCTCAAACTGCAGGGGTGAGCTTGCAGCAGAGTTACCTCGGAGTAACACAGCCAGCACTCATGAGCTATTCAGAGTGTAGTGTCTCCATTGGACTTCCTGCCAGCACCACACAGCCAGTTCCTTCTCGAGGGGCCCCACCTGCCACTAGCATGGCAGAGCAGCTGCCACCACCGCCACCACCACCCCCTCCTCTCTCACCACCTCCACATGTTCCCAAAACACTTCCCCCAGAAAAGTCAAAAAAGCTCAGGAAAGTTGGCAAGGTAAACATTTAAATTTACATTTTTGTTTTCTCTCTGGAAGAGCCAAAGTGAGCAGCAAGCTGCATGTAGTAATGTGCATTATTTTACCGTGTCAGGCTGTAGAACTGGTACACCTTGCAATGACGGATATACAGTGGATATCTCAGGATCTTCAAAGCAGAGAGAGCTATGGGATTTCCAGATCCCATGGACAAAAGTAAATCAAAAATGTTACAATGAGTCAGTCCTGATCACCTGGGAGATCACTAGTTTCAGGCTGTTTGTTTTCCTGTTCTGTGCTAGGAGATGTGTTGTGTTAGCCAGAAAGCATAAAGCCTTTTTCCATGGAAGAAATCTTATTTGCTCTGTAGAGATTATAGGAGTTCTCTTCATCCTTTACACCAAAAGCTGAATTTCCTTTTCCTTAGAATACAATAGAACAAAGTTAGAGTCCAATGGGAGCTGCGGTGGCTCAAGTGGTTAAGACGCTGAACTGCAGGCTGTGGAAGGTCGGTAGTTCAGTAGTTTGAGACCCAAGTGTGCCGCATGACGGAGTGAGCTCCCGTCTCTAGTTCCAGCTCCTGCCAACCTAGCAGTTCGAAAGCAAGACATTGCAAGTAGATAAATAGGTACCACTTCGGTGGGAAGGTCACAGCGTTCCGTGCACCTTGGTGTTTAGTCATGCCGGCCACATGACCACATAAACGTCTTCTAACAGCGCTGGCTCTTCGGCTTTGAAACGGAGATGAGCACCGCAACCCTAGAGTCGGATTCGACTGGCTTTCGAGCCAGGGAGACCTTTACCTTTAGAGTCCAATGGCACCTTTAAGTCCAACAAAGTTTTATTCAAGATGTGAGCTTTCGTGTGCACACACACTTCATCAGACTCATTGAAATGGAATTAGAGATCAGGGTTGTATATATAGATAGCTTGTTAAAGTAGCATGCAAAATAGTGAAGATATTTTTAGCAGATCAAAAGAATGACAAGCTGGTTTCTGATTATCATCTGTTTTGGTTCAACTGGGCGGGGGACAAGAAGCTTGTCATTCTTTTGATCTGTTAAAAATATTTTCACTATTTTGCACGCTACTTTAACAAGCTATCTATATATACAACCCTGATCTCTAATTCCATTTCAATGAGTCTGATGAAGTGTGCGTGCACACGAAAGCTCACATCTTGAATAAAACTTTGTTGGTCTCAAAGGTGCCGCCGGACTTTGTTCTATTGCTTCAGACCAACACGGCTGCCCAGCTTGATCTATCTTAGAATACAGCGCAAAGTGCCACTTGAAAGTTGTTCTTTGACCATCATCATGAAGTTTTTTTCTTTTCCCCTGATGTGAACTGCCCCAATTTGAGACTAGCAGAGCAATCCTAATTAGAATTACACCCTTTTAAACACATTTAAATAAATTATCCTAGCTAGCATCTGTGATTGGGATTGGAAGCAAAGGGTTATCTGATATCATTTCTCTGATCCTCATCATATCATACTAAATGTTTTGCTGTAGAGAAAAAAGGTCAAGACAAAGATGCCGTCTTTAGTAAAGAAGTGGCAGAGCATTCAGCGGGAGCTAGATGAGGAGGAGAACTCTAGTTCCAGTGATGAGGGTCGGGACGTGATGTCGCAAAAGCGAATTGAGGAATGGAAACAACAGCAGTTAATCAGGTATGGTGAGGAGAACTGCGATGTATGACCAGTCTGGGAGTTGCTGTAGCATATTGGCTGAAGGATTGATCTGTGAATCAGGTCGTTCCTAATTTGAGTCTCAACTCTGCCACAAACTCACCTTAGGCAAGCTATTGTGCTGTAGTTCACCGTTTACAGTATGGAGACAATAATACCTACTATATGGGATGTAAGAATTAGCTAATGTGTGCACTTAGAATACTTGAAAGCATTTACATAAATGCTGAGTATTTAAGTATTACATAGTAGGCCATCAGGAATCACAGAAGAGAAATCACACCACATTCCATAAAGAGCCTCTGCTACAATAATCCCACCCTGACCTGGATACCCCAGGCTAGCAGAATCTTGTCAGAGCCTGAAAGCTAAGCAGAGTTGGCCCTGGTTAGTATTTGGATGGGAGACCCCTAGGGAGTAGCAGGGTCACTACACAGAGGTATAAGCAATGGCAAATTACTTCTGGAAGTGTCTTGACTTGTAAACCCCATGGGATGGCCATAAACTGGCTGTAACTTGACAGCACAAAAAAAATATCTCCCTTTCCTTCCATTTAATTTATTGTAAGTGTTCTCCTCCTGGAACAGGCTCTGTCCTCATCAGGCTCAGGGGTGTGTATAATCTTTTTCCTTTGATTAACTGAAGCCATTCTTTGCATACAAAGGGAGTCTCCAGAGTATGGTGAGAACTCCTCTACCTTGTCAGTGAGTAGCCTGGATTGCTGCTTTTGTTGTTGCAATGGGGCTCAGCAACTTTATTTTATTTTATTTATTATTAGATTTATACCCCGCCCTCCCCCAACGGGCTCAGGGCGGCTACAACAGAGGCAATTGCCATAACAACGACTAAAACAACATAAAAGCAATCATTAAACAGTATAAAACAGTCATTAAATAAAGTGCGGTGCTCTTGAAGTTAAATTTACTTAATCCAAGATGAATTCCATTCATCAACCTAACCTGACAACATACATTCTTCGGTTAACTAGGCGTCTACCCAGGGCCAGCTCACCTCCAGATCTAATCCACCATAGAAGATGGCAACTTGGTGGTGGTACAGTGACGGCGGCGGCTCCTATGCAAAGGCCTGGCAGAAGAGCTCCGTCTTGCAGGCTCTGCGGAACTGCGCCAGGTCCCACAGGGCCCAAACCTGCTCTGGGAGCTCATTCCACCAGACAGGAGCCGCTGCCGAGAAAGCCCTGGCCCTGGTTGCAACCAGCTTGATGTCCTTGGGGCCGGGAACCACCAATAGGTGCTGCGACCCCGACCGTAGAGCTCTTGGGGGAACATATGGAGAAAGGCGGTCCCTTAGGTACGCTGGACCCTGGCCATCAAGGGCTTTATAGGTAAGAACCAGCACTTTGAAGCGAATCCGGTATGCTATAGGCAGCCAGTGCAGTGCCTTCAGCACAGGCTGGACGTGGTCCCATCTAGTGAGACCCATCAACAGCCTGGCCGCCGCATTCTGCACCAGCTGCAGCTTCTGGATTTGCGACAAAGGCAGTCCCATGTAGAGAGCTTTGCAGTAATCCAACCTTGAAGTGACCGTTGCATGGATCACAGTGGCCAAGTCATCGCGGTCAAGGAAAGGAACCAACTGCCGCGCCAGTTATTAGATACAGTGATTATTTAACCACTTACATGCCATGTTCCCACTCCCCTCCCCCCCCAAAAAAAACATGTTTGCTCAAGGTAGTTCACCCCCCCCAAAAAAGAAGGCAGGAAAAAACCTGACCTGCAGTTACTGATTGATTTAGCATTACGACAGAAAAACAGCACACCTTCCCCCGCAAACAGTCTCCTTCCCCCGAACAGTATGACCTGTCAATTAACAGCCAGCTGGAAAAAACCAACATGCTGTCTGGATCCTGGTTAAATCAGTTCTCAACACCAGTCACTTCGAAGAAAGCTGACTTTGATAGATACCATACTGGACATGAGCTATTGTTAGGACTGAAGTTAAACGTGCAAAGGTTACATATATATTGGGTTCAAGTAAAGGCACTAAAGATCAGGACCCAATCACCCCACGGTATTTGCCCGCCAGAATTAACAGTCAACTCCCCCCCCCCCACTAAGCACGTACCTCTCCCAGAGCATCCCTCCCCCCAAAACTGATTCTTCCCCCCCCCCCCCAGACACATAGCAAGAAAAACAGAATAGCAGACATTTGAGAAGCCGGGACATTTGGCCCCATTTGACCTCTGGCACAATGGCAGGCGAGCTGTAAAATGCATAGGGACCCTGACACATGCAGCCCTGATGCATCTCCTTAAGGAGGGCCTTCCACAATGCTGCTGCCGCCACTGAGAGAGTGGGCCTGCACCGGGTATGATCAGATAACTCTCAGGGCTCTACTAGAAAGAATCTACGTGAGGATCTGAGGTGGGAAATGGTTTATACTCAGACAGATGATCCTTTAAGCGCAGTCCAGATTGTAGAGGTTTAAAGGTTATAGCTAGCACCTTGAATTAGACTTGGAAACACATTGGTAACCAAAGTGGCTGTTCTAAGATGGGAGAAATATGTTCCCATGTTCACGTTTAAGCAACAAATGAGTTCATCGTCATGGCTTCTGTGCAGGCACACATGGGACTGTGCAGTCGCAGGCCAGCCGCGGAAAAGGTTTCCAAGCTTCCTAATAGACTAGGAGCGCCCCTCCTCCCTCTGGCGCTTTCCCGCCAAAACGCTCACATGACCAGGAGGAGGGGCGCTACTCCCTCAGTTCTCTTTCTGCCGCCATGGAGAGAAGATCTCCATTGCTGTTCTCTGTGTTTTTTCTTCACCTCAGTTCTGAGGCTGAGGAGACTTTTTTCTGTTAACAGTTTTTATTCTAGTGAAGAGTATAATACATCTAAAGAAGAAATGCATTGTGGATTTTGGTTGTGTAATCATGACTAAAAACAGTGCTGTTCTACGGCCATTCTCTGTGCCTTGGCTGCCTAGGGGTTCAAAAACAGAGCTGCCTGCTCTTGCTGTCACCAGTTTCCCCTGAAGGCATGTGTGGAAAGAGTTGGACTCAGAAGAGCTCTCTTCGAAGGCTTCCCCCTCCCTGGTGAGGAGGGGTGGACAAAGAGCCTGGCTTAAATGGCACTCTTCGGAGGTTGCCTGTGTGGAAACAGCCTGATGAAGGCCAAGTCCCACCTCTGCTGAGGTGTGGTGGACAAACAGCCTGGCTTCAATGGCCCTCTTTGGAGGTCGCCTGTGTGCCTAACAGCCTGATGAACGCAAATCCCCCCCCCCCCCCCCGGGGGGGGGGGGGAAAAAAGGGTCTGAATGGAGGCATATTCCCCCCTCCGTGCTGAGGTGTTGTAGACAGAGCATCAGAGTAACTGGCTCTTTTCATGGGCTTTGGCTGTGTGCCTTGAAGTCACAACCCCCTTGACGTTGAAGCATTTCTGCCCAGTCATTCCCTAAGGGGTCTCTGGCCTCTATGCCTTCCACGTCGACCTAGAAGCCCTTCCCTCCCCCCTCCCTTCTCTGAGAGAGAGAGGGGAGAAAGGCTGGGAGGTGTGGCTTGGCAGAGGCTGCTTGAATGAAGGCCCCTCCCTTCCCTTCGAATGAAGAGGCTTGGAGGTGTGGCCTGGCAGAGACTGCCTGCCTGAAAGATTCTCTGGCCACTCCCACCACTTCCAGTGAAGCAGCTTGGGGGCATGGCCTGGCAGAGGCTGCCTGTCTTAAGGAAACTTCCCCCTCTCTCCCTTTCTGTCAGTTCTGACCATGTTACAGAGTAGGATAAACTCTGTACTACTCTTTTGTTAAAAAAGAGCATATGTTTTTTCTTCTCAAAACAGCTGCCCTAATAGACAAGGGCCCAATGGGCACACTATAATTAATGGCTCTTGTTGCATCCTCTGCTACAATCAATGATTGTATTCTTGATTCCATGTGTCATCTATATTATTCCTGTTGGCCTACAGGTCAAATACCACTTACTCTTTATTTAACCTGTGCAGAGTTTTAATGATCTAAAATATACCCAGTTGGGATGCAGTTTGTTTCTTTTTCGTTCTATACTGCACTTTCCCATTAGTTTATAAATCAACAGGTCACTATGACCCTTATACTATTCTGTTTGACCGTATCTTAATGCACTGTGGCTCACAGTCTGTGCTGGTGATCTGCATGATAAATCTGTTCCTTTAATTCAGATCACTCATGTTACCCTACCCTAGTCCATGCTAGGAGTTAATATAAACAAAATAAACAAGCAAAAAAACCCAAAACAAAACCAGAACAAAACGAAGCATTAAAGTAAATGACCTCACAGACGTTGTGAATTCTGCTGTCCAGTCGGACAGCATTCTGGGGCAATAACAGGTTTGTTGTTGGATCCCTGAGTCACATTTCTTTCCCGCCTTCAGTTAACATGATGTCTCAGGGTTCTGCATACCTTTTGTCCATGTACAAGAGGCCAAGTTCCATCCTTGGCATCGCCTACTGACAAAGCCTCTGGTCTCTATAGAAACTGCAGCAAGGTTTGGACTCTGCTTCTTGTGCTGTTGAATATTTTTGGCAACTGATTTGGAAAAAAGAACCTTCTCTGATCTTTTCCTTGTTGGATTACTAAACATGCTACAAAATAGGGGTATAACCCCTTGTTTTATTTTTGACACATGGTGCTTCATTTATGATAGGGTTCTAACTTATACCCTCTCCATGCATGAAATTTCAAAGGGTGATGTCCTGCTGGAATACCCTGCCAAGGGCCGTCTCTCACTCCTCATGTAATGCATGGTCAGCGTCCTCACACAACCCATCCTTGTGGGTCAGTTGATGCTATCACACTGTGAGTGCACAGTCATTCATTACCACTCTATGTATGATGGCTCTTTTCTTTACCACATTCCCACATGTATTTTGGTGGGGTCACTTGCACAGAACTTACTGCTCTGGTATAAGAGAGTTCTGGGTGAAGGTCAGTTTGTGCCGCTAAACAACTGTTGATAAAGCGGTCAGTGGTCTCCTTCTGAGAGCTTCACACCCACCTCCTTCACTGAGTGATCTTGCTAATCTTCCCATGTGGGACTGTACAGAAGCCACAACGATGAGAACAAGGTTGCACTTACCTGTAACTGTTGTTCATTAAGTGGTCTTCTGTGCAGGCACACATCCCTCCCTGCCCCACTGTGAACTCTCTGGAACGTTGGTTTTCTAGGGGTCTCCGGTGGCGGCATGGAGAGAACTGAGGGAGTAGCGCCCCTCCTCCTGGTCATGTGAGCGTTTTGGCGGGAAAGCGCCAGAGGGAGGAGCGGCACTCCTAGTTTATTAGAAAGGTTGGAAATCTTTTCCGTGGCTGGCCTGCGACTGCGCAGTCCCATGTGTGCCCGCACAGAAGACCACTCGATGAACAACAGTTACAGGTAAGTGCAACCTTGTTTTACCCTATTTTGCACCAATTCAAGCTTCAATATTAATTTCAAGAGCAGCTCCACATAAAGAGTGTTACGCTACTCTAGCTTAGCTTCAGAGTTGAAGAAGCATTGGATTAATATAGCTGGATCCTCAGAACTCAGGAAATAGTATTTTGCACTAAATCCAACTGGTAAAAGCCATCCTTTGCTACTGCATTTGCCTGATTTTCTAAAAGGTTGGAATCCAACAATACCCCTGTGCTCTAACTGAGGTGGTCAAATTCAATCATGATCCTATCTGATGTGAGCAAGGACATATTCTTGAGTCTGTGCTTTACTAGCCAGCATACTTCCAGCTTGGCTGCATTCAACTTTAGCTTATTCCCCATCAGCTACTTGGCCACAGCCTCCAGGCTCTGGCCTAGCACATAAACCACTGTGTCTGACAGCTTATTCAAAGGAATGCAGAGCAAAGTGTCATTGGCATTGATGATGGAGGTTCAGAAGATCTCATGCAAACATCAAACAGAATGGGCAAAAGGCTTGAAGACTGGAACCTGACAGGACAAGTCCCAAGCTCCTGATTCCTCTTCGTCCATGACTTTCTGTATTCAAGATATTGAAACCACCCCATGTGTGTTTCAACTGCACTTGAAGTGTTCCAGTAGGATTGAGTGGTCTGTGATCCAGCAGGTTGAAAAAAAAGCATTCCGTTAATGCAGCAATATTCCAAGCTCCACCAGTGCAAGAAAAGTGCTTTTCCTCGCAAAACAAGATCAGAAGCCAGATTGAAATTGATCAAGAATAGACAGTTTATTGAAGAAATCATAGAGCTGATTAAAGTGGCTTCCCTATCCTGTTCCTCAAAGCACTCTGTAGGCAAGATTTCTACGTTATTTGAGCCATTTGCAGATATGGTATGAAGTACTGACAAAGCCAGATATTATTTGTGAGTTTCAGTGTCTTGCATTATTGGCCAGCTTTAGGTCAGTCTAATTGCAGTTACCTGCAATTAAAGGATAATCACTGAGGTTTGTTACTCCTTCTGCTACAGCTTCAGACAAAAGGGGAGTTGTAGGTAGGAATGTAGTACGTACAGAGTGGATGAAGGCCCATAGATTTTGTGGTGCAGTACCCCTTCCAGCAGTCACGGCCTATAGCACCAGAAATCTTACATGTTGTGTATGAAGATGGAAACCTGACTAGTTTCATACTTCAGACACACAATAAAGTGTAGCAGTATTTGTAGAATCACCTCAGAAAGGACAATCTGACACACCCTTGAAAGGTATCATGTCAGAATTTTTTTTACTGTTTATACACACACACACACACACAGTTTGTCATTGTATAATGTATCAAAGAGAGCAGGTTCTTGGTTCTCTTGTCACAGACAGATGGTTTTGGAAAAGTTTTGACCTCTGTAGGTCCTCGTCTGCAGGTCGGCTAGTCTAATGTTTTCCCTGTTGCTTTTGGCAGTGGCATGGCGGAGAGGAATGCTAATTTTGAGGCGTTGCCTGAGGACTGGCGAGCTCGGCTCAAGAGGAGGAAAGTCACTTCAAGCACATAAATGATCTTTCCCCATTTTTTAAAGCCACACATGTACAGTTCATATCAAAATGTTTTACTGTTGTAAGATAAACCTTTTAGAAGAGAGATGCATTTCAGCTGAATGATATGGCTGTGATCACATGGACTTGGAAATCCTTTTGGAGGTGTTTATGGCAAGTAGACCTCTGAAATAATGTGTAGGCTGGCCACTCCTGTCTTAAAAGGCTCCTACAAATCCCACCTCAAACAAAGCTGGAATACTGTTCTGTCCAGTTCCCTGGTAGAACTGGTACTAAGAACTGATTCATGCACTCTGTGGAGTCGGAACTGGATTCAGTTATTTCCACTCTTCCTTGCTAAGCTAAAAAGTGTTTAGTCTAACTCTTGTTTGCAAAACGTCCAGCTATAATTGCCATTTGCAATGTCTGCAGGCTGTTGTTACAGAATGGGCAAATGAAGGATGCATATTCTTTTCAAATAGCTGCAGAATGTGTTCAGTTCCTGATTTTTGCCAGCACCTTGGTTTTGGGCAACATTGTTCTTTGTTGATGATTGTTGACTCAGACTCGTGTTCCTGTCATTATCTGTATCAGTCCTGTTTTCCTTGAGCATTTCCACTTTGGCACTGTAACATGCTAATAGTTCCACTGATTTGGCTGCAGCCTAGTGGCCAGCCAGGTAGGCAGGAATTCAGTATGAATCCTACCACTCCTGAGTCCTGACTGAAAGGGAGACTGTCCTCCTGCCTTTTCTGGTGAGCATGGTGAGGCAGTGGCATGGGCGACTGTAAATGTGCAGTTGCTGACTCCTCTACCGTACCAGAGGCTGCTGTAATGAACATGCAGCCTGTACCGGATGCTGGCCAGCCAGCAGACATCCCATCTACACAGTTTTTGCCCTGGCCGTCTTGTCTTGCCCCCACCAGGGAAGGCGGCACCCTGTCCTTTCTGGTCACTCTTCTGACATTCTACCCAACCTCTCAAACCATTATTTAGAAGCTACTACTAGTGAAGAGGGAGAATAAACTTGTCTAAGTCCAGGTCCCCCCCCCCCCCATCTCCCCTCCGCCCTTCCTCTTTCCAAAAAGTAGGATCTTTGTCCGTGGAAAGCCAGACTGAATATTTATCCAACCTGTGAATGTCTTTAGTTACTTCCGTTGTTTCATTTTTAAAACTCTGAATCAGGTGGTAATGATTTCCTATAAACTGAAAGAAAGGGTAGTTTATTGCTGAATACTGTTTGTATTTCTCCGGTTTCTGGCTTTGTAAATTTGTACATACACATTAATAAAAAATGTTTTATATTTCTGAATCTTCTTATTTGAACTGCAGATGTGAAGATAACTCTGGTACAGAAATATTTATTATAGAAATATCAATATCGGTTGTATTACAATTTCTTCTACAGATTATATATTTTTGAATTGTTTCATACCCAGGACAGTCGGATTGAAATCTAGATTGACAAATGAAATCATGTCACAAATTTTCAGTCTTTTGTGGTTTTGTTATTTACTTTGAATTACATTATTGTTGCACGATTATATCTCAGTCTTGAAACTGGTCCATCACACATATGAGGTAATCCTAGATCCAGGTGGGTAGTAGCCCTGTTGGTCTGAGCCAGCAGAACAAAGTAAGTCCAGTCGGGCACTTCTAAGACCAACAAAGTTTTATTCAAGGCGAGAGCTTTCCTGTGCAAGCACACCTCAGATACAGTGAAACAGAATTTCCTCAACCATTACATATAGAAGGGGGAGGGTTAGTTACCAAGAAGGGCCAATTACAGTGAAGACAGAGACTGAAGAAAAGAGATTGGATTCATACCCCGCCCTTCACTACCCAAGGGAGTCTCAGAGCGGCTTCCAAACTCCTTTCCTCCCCACAACAGACACCCTGTGAGGCGGGGGGGGCTGAGAGAGCTCTTGACAGAAACTGCTCTTTTTCAAGAACAGCTCTTATCAGAACTACGGCTTGCCCAAGGTCATCCAGCCAGGTGCGAGTGGAGGAGTGGGGAATCAAACCCAGTTCTCCCAGATTAGAGTCCGCGCACTTAACCACAACACCAAACTGGCTCTCTGAAACAAATGGGAAATTACCAGTCCATACGTATAGGTAGAAGGTGAGCTGTAAATTATCATACAGCATAATAAAGATGTTTAACAGATACAAAGATAACCATTTGTTTGGTTTCAATTCTGGGGCAAAAATGGTGAAGGAAATATGTCAAAATTAAGAGTTTGATGTATCCTTAATTGTGGAATGCCAAGAGTAATTATTTGAGACCCTGCCATCCATCTCCTCTGTGAGAGAATAAAGTTTTTGTCCATTTCTCGGGGAATTCTGAGGCCTAGATGATTGCTTCCTACTACTCTGTAATTTGATTTTATTGACAAGTGCAGAAGAGGTGTTTTGTGGTTGCAAAGACAAGCTTCTTATATAATGAATATGATTTTCAGTGACCAGGGAAGTGAAGATGAAAGGTGTGGGGCTGATTTACAATTTCAATTTATGCAGGGACATCATTTTTTCAAAAATCCCAGACACATGTCTGCAGGGGGGCTGTGTTTTGAAAGCAGCTCTGCAACTGTTCGCCAGAGTTTTGTAGGCGGAGCCTGTTCTGGAGAAGAGGTTCTCTTTCCCAAATTCAAAGCCGCCCTGTGTGTTCGCAGTGAGGGTGGGTCAGTCCTCTACAGCGAATGCCTGCAGAAGTGGCTTCTGACAGGTGGTGTGCAAGGGGGAGGCGGTCTTATCCGTTCTCATGCAGCCGCCAAAATCTCGATCAAGGGCGCCGCTGGGAGAAGAGCGGCCTCTGTGTTTGTGTGTGACTGCAATAAAGAAGGCCAATGCTATGCTGGGGGTTATTAGGAAGGGTATTGAAAACAGATCAGCCAGTATCATAATGCCCCCGTATAAATCAATGGTGCGACCTCATTTGGAATGCTGTGTGCATTTCTGGTCACCACACCTTGAAAAGGATATTATAGCTTTGGAAAAAGTGCAGAAAAGGGCAACTCGAATGATCAAAGGGTTGGAACACTTTCCCTATGAGGAAAGGTTAAGGCGCTTAGGGCTCTTTAGCTTGGAGAAACGATGACTGAGGGCTGACATGATCGAGGTTTACAAGATTATGCATGGGAAAGAACAGGTAGAGAAAGAGGTACTTTTCTCCCTTTCTCACAATACAAGAACCCGTGGGCACTCCATGAAATTGCTGAGCGGGAACGGATAAGAGGAAGTCCTTCTTCACCCAAAGAATGATTAACACATGGAATTCACTGCCACAGGAAGTGGTGGAGGCTACAAGCATGGACGGCTTCAAAAGGGAATTAGATAAGCATATGGAGCAGAGGTCCATCAGTGGCTATTAGCCACAAGGTATAGATAGGGGCTCTGGGGCAAGGGATGCTCTGTCTTCTTGGTGCTTGGGGGGGGGTCAACAGTGGGAGGGCTTCTGATGTCCTGGCCCCACTGCTGGACCTCCTGAGGGCACCTGGTATTTCTGGCCACGGTGTGACACAGAAGAGTGTTGGACCGGATGGGCCACTGGCCTGATCCAACGTTGGCGTCTCTTGTGTTCTCATGTCGGGCGGAGTCCCTCCGAGGGGCGGCTGAGGGCGTGGGCGACCCTCCGCGAGGTGGCCCCGCGCGTGCCCGGGCCCCCCCCCCCTTGCCGGCCACCTGGGAATTGTTCGCTCAGGCCTGGCGGGCCAGCGGTGGCGCCCCTTGGCGGTTGCGGGCCTGAGGCGGGAGGCGGCCGCCGACGCCCGCGGGGCTGTTTTGTTGTGAGCGACGGAAGCGGTCGCCAAGGCGAAGCCTTCCCAGGCAAACACGCCGCCGAGCTTAGACGCGGGGGGCGCTTCGGGGAGAGAGGGCTGTTCTCACGGAGGGAGGGAGGAAGGAAGGAAGGAAGGAAGGAAGGGCGCCCGGCATCAAGCGCGGCTTGCGAGTTTCTGAAATCTCTCTCTCGTTTCCCGCTCCTCTTGCCTCCAAGGGGCTTCTTTCTGGTGTGACTTCCTCCCCGTCCCGGGTCTCCTCGGGAGGCAGAGAGCCGCCGCCCTCGGCGCCATGTGTCCCGCAGACCCAGCCTTCGAAGGGCAGGTCAGTCCGTCCGTCCGTCCGTCCGAGAGGCAAGAGCGGCGGCGGCGGCCGCGAAAGGCGGGAGGGTCGCCTGGCGGGATTGATCACCGT